TTTCTTTTACAAGACCAAGATGGCTAAAAAATCTAAGGGGCCTGTGTGCTGGATGCCTTACCTTTGGGGAATTACGAATGCTACATGCTGCTTTTTTTCTATTTTTTGTATTTTCTGTGTTTAGCTAGAGAGATTGCAGGCTGAAAATGCCTTGGAGTGGGACAAGAGGGAAATACTTGAAACAGAGAAACAAGATCTGGAGAGAGAAAATAGAAGGCTCAAGATCCGGGTAAAAGAAATGGAAGAGCTCCTGGATAGGAAAAATGGATTGTGTGCAAACTCTCAAGACCCTGATTTCAAGATTTCACAAATTGATCTACAAGAGAAAAACAAGGTATGGTTTCTCCTTGGACCACATGTTCTGTAACTGTGTATTCCCTACCCAACATCCAGGCAGATGCTCCCTTCACTTTCACACACCTCCAAATCTAAATATTTCCTCTTGTGCTATCTAATAACTGGTACAGCTTGCTCTTTGTTCCACTGTGATGCAAAATAATGTTGTTCATGCATCTGAAACAAAATGTGTCAAATTTGGGGTAAACATGTTAGAATATGACAAACCTCCAGTTTCAATATTTCCAAAGGGAAGGAAAAAAAAATAAGGTAAGAAAGAGACTTTTGTGGTTTTTGTTTCCTGTTATAGCTCTGTCTCAGCATTTTCCAAGCAATTGATCTGATTTTCAATAAACATATTTTTCCATTAATTTGAGCATCTATACAACAAGCATTTGTTGGTAGCTGTGGTAAGTATCAGTGTAAACATTCAAATTCAGCCGAGGCTCATTGTCTTCTGGTTCTTTTTTATTTAGTCTCAGAACAATTATTTTTGAGTCTATTATATGCATCATTTTTTTCAAATAGCTTTTACAGGCAATGGCATTTGTTAAAACCAGGATTAAATTCAAAATTTGATTTCGGGAAATTTAGGCTGTTTTGCATGTGTCTTATCCTCAAGCCATAGTTAATGCTGTAGATGGAATTTTATTTTTATAAATAGTTTACAGATTCTTAAATATGCTTTTACTGGATGACTTATAATTTGTGTGGTTAAGTGTCAGTACACTGCAAAATATATACATCTTTCCACTTTTTTCCATTGAAGTATATATAGCATCTTAATGCACAATTCTATTTTTCACTCAATTCCTGTAACAGTTTGAAAAAGTAGATTTTGTAAGTTCATATTTTTAGTTATATAAGTCATTTATACTCATATGAGCTCTAGAAGCTAAATGGACAGAAAAATTGAATTCCATATCACTTTATTATTTTGTGATTCTAGGGATTTATTGCAAATGTAAGATTAATTGCATTAGTGTTTCATGACTTGGCAATGCAAATATCTAAAGTTAAATGTTATAGTCAGTGATCATAATTTCCTATTATACAGATTCATAAACCATCTATAATAGTGTGTTTGATTCTGACATAAATACAACCGATAAACCCATAGAAAATTTTTTTGGAGATTTCTACATCTAAAAGCACAGAATTACCTCAACTATGGAATCCAGTTTGATTATAAAAATTCCTCTTTCTATTTGATTCATTTGAACAAGACAAGTATTTATTTATGTTATTCTCTGTGTCAGCCATGGATCTAGATGGTAGTAACAAGAACATTAAAGAATCATTATTCCTGCCCAGCATGGGCTTAGAGTCTGTATAGGAAGACAAACACATACATTATTAACAATAAAACATTGTGATGATTGCTAAGAATGAAGTGGAATGGAAACAACAACGAAGAAGCATTTCACTTTATTTAATTTTGACACTTTTCCAGTTAAATTAAAATGTCATAAAGTATGTCAGGAAAAATGAGGGTTGATTTGGGCCTGTTTGGAGCTGGCATATGTACCAATTGGTATGACCTGTCATCAGGGCACACTGAGACCAGACCTGGGCTCTTTGAGACCAATGTAGTTCTTCAGCCTACCATGAGGCAGAACTTGGAACGTGGGACGATTCTGGAAGTTCTGACCAAATAGAAGGTATGCTTATTGCGTAGAAGACTATAGGATTCTTTAAGTAAAAGTCATATTTTGATGGTGGGGGTAGTGTTGGTGATTTTTACCTTCTTTAATAATTCAGACTCTCTACTGAAACCCAAATAATTACTTATTATGGAACAGCTGTAGATCAAAATCCTTGATGCAACAGAGACTCTCACAGAATCTCAAAATGTCAAGATTCTGATGCCCTCAAATGCCAAATGAATCAGAGCTGTGTATAGAACATGTCAAAGGCCAGGGAATAATGTGGATTTGTTCATAACAAAACAATATTGTAGTTTTAACATTACTTCAATAAGGATTAATTTATGTATATACAAGTATCATGTCTATATACAAATACCATGTATGAATGAGTACCATGTATACATATATGAATACTACATATATATGTATGTAGGTACTATATATGACTACCACATATACATATGTACATAGGTACAATATGTGAGTTCCACATATATATATATATAGGTCTCATATTTGAGTACCACATACATATATATTTATATGTAGGTACTATATATGAATATCATGTCTATATTTATATTTAGGTACCATACATGATTACCAAATAAATATATTACCACATATGAGTACCACATATATATGTATATAAGTACCATATATGAGTATGGTGTCTATATATGTATAGACAACCCATATATGACTGAGGCAGTGGAAATGGGTGGTAAGGGATGGTGCTGCAAACACCCCACAACTATTAGGCTCTAAAAGAAATGTGAGATTTCTTATCACATGACATTTGCATCGAATCATATTTATCATCTGTTTATGGCAGACATAAAACTACCTGCTACTCATAGAAATCCCCACATCAATAGATTTTTAAAATACCTTGAGTTTTAATAATCTTCTTGTTCAATAAAATTTGTATAAATCCCTATTAATTCAAGGAGGGAGGACTTTTCACATGGTTTTGCATTTGCTTTTTTGACCTTAGAGATTTAGGGAATACATTTTTAAAGAAAATGGCTTTCAATTTTAAATTGCACTATGAATCCAAAAACAAATATCCTTCACATGAGTGATCTAATAATATGAATCTCCACCTAGTATTTGCTTTTATATACTATGTTTAGGGATATGTGCACATGAATCTTTTACAACTTAAAAAAAATTCAACAGTACGCTTGAACTTTTTGTGGACAGATTGGAAAATTACCGCTCTATGGTAACTATTTTTAAAGTATAAACCACTATGACAGATTTTTCTAGAACAACCTCTGCATGCAAATCTTTCTATTTTTTGATGCTTTTGAAAATAATGGCACTGTTCCATGGTTCCATGGCATCAGCATAACTGACAAAATGACATCAGACAAGAGAACTTCAGTGGCAGTACTGAGTGCTCTTCTCAGACTGAAGCCTGAATTTTAAATGATGGAAAAGATGTTTGAGAACTAGCTTTGTGAAAACATCAGCAAATCAAAGTGAAATTTTAAAGAGGAGAAATGAAGCTACATTTGAAACTCTGATTCTACAGCCAAGAGTAAATTATATTGGTTATGCTTGATGATTAGAATGTATATTTTCATCTACCCTTTTTTATCCACTCTTTTATTAAAAATCCACCTATACTTATGAATATGCAGATATATAAATATTGGAATAATTGATATGATTAGATATTTTTAAAAAACATTTTCAATACACTCAGAAAATTTGGATTCAATAATCTGAACTATTTGCTATAAAATGTTTTTAGGTTTCTTTTACAAGACCAAGATGGCTAAAAAATCTAAGTGTATTAAAAATTATAGTGTTATCAAAAGTGGGATGTACATGTCACACTGCAGTGTGGAAACTACTAATATATTTTTAGCTATTGCTGTTAGAAAATCCATCTTATAGTTTATAATGTATATTAGTAGAATAGTATATCTATATAACATAATTAAGTTAGTATATTTTAGAAGGTCATTTAAAATGGGTAAACTCATAACTTTAAGCAAACATAAAATGAACACATGTTAACTATTTTATTTAACCCATTAATTAATGAAGAAACCAGTAAGATATCACAGCCAGTTCAAAGGAGAATCTAAATATCAGACAATGAGGCACCAAGGAACGACGAAATGAATGTCCTTAGTAGATGCAAAACTGGCTCTTCTACAGTGGATAGGAAAATAAATTACATTGTCACCAGATGAAATTCTCCCACCTGTGCATGGACAAGAATCATTTATATTGCTATGGATTATCTACAAATTACAGAGTTGTGTATAAAATAGCTTAAAGATATTAAAAGTTGTGGGATCCTACAGATTCAGATAATCTAACCTGGAGTAATGTGTTAGACACAACTACCAGGAATATCTGTTGATCCTTTCAAAGTCTTTCCCAATTTTCCCTGACAAAATAAATTATTTGATGTGCATGCTTAATAACTCTTTACATATGAATACATCAACAAACACTTGGAGAGTGTTATTTTAGATTAGGGGCAGTCAAACTTTTTCTGTAAAGGTCAAGATTGTAAACATATTCAGCTATTTTAAACCCCACGTCTCTGTTGCACATTTAAAAAATTTTATAAGCCTTCAAAAATGTAGAAAATATTTTTAGTTCATGGTGGTACACAAAAGGTCTATTGCTGAACGTGGCTCCTGAGTCATAGTTTGGGGTTCCTGAGCATAAATGTATGGAAGGGACCAAGAAGACAAATGTGACAGGGCCAGGTACAGGGTGATGAATGACAACAGCACCTCTGCCCAGCTAGAGAGCAGTGCCCAGAAAGCATTCATACTGTTCTGGCCACACAGAACCTGCTGGGATGAATCTTCCACTTGGGTTTATAATATGGTCTAGACAGTCTACACTAAGCAATGGTAATCATTTTACAACAGTCAGCAAAGCCTCACTTCCTCTATTCTTCAGCAAGATTTCCCTGTCAATGATTATACCAGGGTCTCTTTACTTATCTTAGTTCGCTTTATGCAACCAATTCTGTCTTACTAATTTTGGGGACTTCATTGCCATTTTTGTGTATATAGCAGGGGTACAACAAACACATGTTGAATAAAAGTAAGTTGATGAACCATGAAACATCATTTTTTAACATGAAATATGTAGATGCTTATGCTATATTTCTGCTGAAGATTTCAGCACAATTTGAGGGCATAACTGGTTAGTCTTTAAAATGCAACTGATCAGTAGACATTTCTCAAATAGCCCTCTTGTTTTTTGGAAAAAAAATCTGAATTACCTAGCATTCCCATTCAAAACTAGAAAAATTATGGTTTGAAAAAATAGAGCGGTAAAAAATTAGAGTATTAGAAGTTTTTGTTTT